ATTTGACCTTTGACACAAGCATCGGTCGCAAATTATCAGAGCACCCACGCTAGATTCGCACAGTGGGGTACGAACTAATTAAGACAAAGAACCTTTACAATAAGTGGAACTCGTTAACTTTGTATAGGATACACAATAGGTTCACAATAGTTCTGCACTATAAATACTGTAGTTTCATCACTACAAACTGTAACTAGTACATAATAAAACAATGATCTTGTGCATTATAGCTAAGCAATAAATTGAATAAGAAAGTTAATTAACAAACAATTAATGAAATAAAGCAGAAGATACAAAACCTATAATCTTCATTACCAAGGCTATACCTACTAAATACAGAAACTATCACTGTATTATCCAAATACATATAACACTGCATATGTAATCATTTATATAAAGCTAATTCGTACATAAAATGAAGAAACAACATACCATAAAATGTACACGATCAGAATGTCAGGTGAGTGGTTCGAAAACAAATCCCGCTCGCTTACAGGACGCCACTGACCCAAGCCAATGCCCAAGCTAAAGATGTCACGCATAATCACGTGACAAGTGACGACACACGATGTCGCCCTCTAAAGTACCTTATGAAATCTCTAACACGTCCTTAATCGAGAGTATACTTATTACCCTGCCTGTAATGAACACTTTGAGGAACATGGTTTTAAATACAGGCCTATACAGTGTTAAAATGAATAAATAGCACAATGAAGACACAAGCATTTCTTTTATAAAAGTTTATTTACAATGACGGAGGACATACTTGAGTTGACATGGGAATGGGCGGCAAGCCAATATAAGCGCCGCCAGCTATCGAATGCTCGCTGCACTGAAGGCAAACATTTTGAAAGCGGAAGGGCACTCGTAATGGCCGTCTATAAAAGATTTTCAAAATGAGGCCTAAAAGTCATCTTTTCAGCTCAATATTATATTTTTGTCTTCCGCTTCTGTTTTGGGGTTTTGTTTTTTTTTTCTTTCGTTCTTTTTTTTTTTCTGCTTTCTGCTTTTTCCCTTGTTTTCCGTCTCACTTCGTTCCTTTTTTTCTTGAGCACTACCTCAAATTGGCGCATTGAGGCTTGTATAATATAACTTCGCCTTATAAGTCGAAGATTTGGATTGGATTGGACATTCATTTGTACATACATTATTCTCTGTTAACAATTTTACTTATCTGCCCATCCTCGAACGCTTACAAAACTTTAGGGGTTAGACAGTAGAACAAATTATAATTTATTCAGGAAACGAATATTTCGTCTTGTCCTCAATACTTCATCAGCGTAACTGATTACAAAAGTTGGCAAATACCAGATCCAATGTAAAACAATAAACAGTCGGCAATAAATAAAGGAGGGTGATTAAATGAGATAAACAATGTCCCCATGTCTCCAATATTGTTTATCTCATTTAATCACTCATATATTTCACTTTGCATAGGAAAGACAGAAATGATGGAAGGCGTGGTGGTGGTGGTATGTTATTAACTTCAAATAAATTCAAGTCACGACGGTTAGATCATCTGGAACACGAGGCGTGGAATTGTTATGGGCTGAAGTTAAGTTTAGTAAAAGCAAAATAGTCCTCATAGGAATTGTCTACACAGCACCAAATTGCGGTCGGTCGAGATAGTGTACTTAAAATTGCTCAGTAAGTTGAGGACACAATACCTACATATCCTCTTCATAACCTAATACTGGTGGGGATGTTAATCTTCTCAATATTATGGACACGTGATGGGACTGGATCAGCTCCCATGAACTCTATTGGTGAACTTTTTATAGACAGTTTATTATTTCAATGTAATGTGAAGCCAACGTGTAATAACAATATTCTAGATGTCATTTTATGCAATTCTAACGACCTTATTTCTGACATTGTTGTTGGTCATAATATATTTTCTTCTGATCATTTATCTCTCAAATTCACTTTTAATTTTCAAATAACTAATTATAAATTACATAAAAAATCCAATAAATTTTACAATTTTGAAGGTCTTTCTTTTATTTTGTTTTTATCATACTTGTTGTATACTTTCCTATTTCAAGAGAGACATAGCCAATTAAGGAGAGTTAAAAAAATGCAGAAATAAAAAAAACACATAAATAATGACTGGTTATGGTTCTAATTTCGGCATTCAAAGAAATAATATTATTTGTGTACTTAAAAAGATAGTAATTTATTCCTATTCTTTCAGCTTAAATTATAAGTCCACCACGTTGTTGTTGCTGCTGTTGTTATTGTGGCTGTAATTATAGCATTTTCATCTAAAACAAAGTAAATAAATCAATGAATAATCTCACAACTTACCTTATGTTATCACCTCCAATGCTCGGTGGTGAAATGACAAGATCACTAAAAAATAATATTAGCTGTGCCCTATAGGCTAATAATAATATGCGTGGTATGCGTCTCATGCTGTTACTATCTTATTACATATACTATTACTAAATACGGAAGTCATTTTATGTAAGTATGATAAGATTTCTCAGCGAGTTTTTTATATCATCATCTAGAGGATAGTATGCTGATCCTTTCTATATAAAATATGCCAGGATTAAATGTTTAATTATTATAGTATTGACTGTTAAAGTGTAGGCTGATTAGAAAACCAAGCCTGATTTGAACACAACTTACACAGGAAAGAAAGCCTTCTGACACCATTAAGCGATTTGCCTTTGTCTTTGAGATTGGGCTAAACAGTAAGCTAATAAACAGCAACTACTGCAAGCTGTTGGTTGCATATTGACTTACACATAAAGAAAGCATCATGGCTACCACTTGTAGTAGGTCTACTACAGCTCAAGATGAAGTTACAATGTTAAATGATGCTTCTACTGCAGTCACAGATGCCCATTTATTAGATTGTTGGATAAGATGGCCATTCAAGAACTTATTAACTTTGATACGATTGGTATGTTGCCGAACTTACGCGATGAGTTACTAGTATTGCTACCAAATTATGACCAAACAGCAATCGCAAATTATGGTTTCCAAATCGCAAATGAGCTTCGCGATTATGCTACGAAGCGTATATCAACCCTTCACAAAACCATGCCTACTGAAACAACAACATCCAAAAAGGATAATGAAATGAAAACTACAAGTGACAATATGACACTGGCAGTCTCTTCAACAAGAAATATACAATGCTTCTTGGATGCGTGTAAGCTGCAAACAAAACCCGACACGGCACCAGCTATCGAATGTAGCTTATGTAACCAGCTATACCATCGATCATGTATTGGAATGAAGGGTAAGAAACCTACTACATGGATGTGCTTGTCATGCCACCGCTTACCTATTGCTATTAAAGAGCTAACAAATAAAGTAAACGAATTGATGAACAATTTTTTAGACCAAGATATGCTATTATCTAATCAGGCAACGAAGATTAAAACGCTTGAAAACAAGAATGAGGAACTGACCAACAAATTAAACTTGATTAGGCCTACACACGATCCATCAGAACAGAATATGCACAACAATAATCATGAAATGGCAACAGTCATTGACAGACAGGAAACATATAAACAGAAAAATAGCAAGACAGCAGATAAACAAGATAGGCCTACCAATGTAGTGAAAAACAACAATGCAGTGAATAAACAACCACATTCACCATCCACCCTTCTGATAAGCGACTCTATGATCCGTGATATTAAAGAGAAAGGTCTAGAAAACACATCAGTCGAGTGTTTACGTGGTAAAAACATCAATGATATCAAGGCAAGATTGGATGTATTACCTATTCACAAATTCGCAACAATCGTAATCCACGGAAGCACTAACGATTGCACCTCTGAAGCCGATGAAAAAATAGCAGAAAGTAAATACGATGAAATCATATCCGATGTCCATAAATGCTCTCCAAACACGCTGATCGCTATATCGACAGTACTCCCACGCGCTGATCGCCCAGGTCACCAATTTTTTGTGGATAAATTAAATGTGAAACTTAGAACACTGGCCTCCACAAATGGATGCTTGTTAATCGACAACGATGAAAACTTTAAACTGCGGGACAATTCGCTAGACACATCAATGCTAGACAGATATGGCCTGCACCTATCGACCAATGGTACAAGGCGCCTGCTACACAATATTAATAAGCAACACACTATAATTCGCAAACAAGATCGCTCAAACAATCAACCGACACACAAAACATCAAGAAGGATGTTGAATCATGACAATTACAGACACCATGGCTTCAACTACAAGCACAGCTAGCACACAATTTGTCATTTCTGCGGCGAAAGTAACCATGTCAAAAAGAACTGTAGACATGGTCAACGGTGTACGGTAAGAATGACCCGGAAAAAATGGCCCCGGAAAAAATGGCCCCGGAAAAAAATGGCCCTGGAAAAAATGGCCCCGGTAAAAATGGCCCCATATGACAGGTAGGTAAAAGTGGCCCCAATAATCAAATTCTGAATTAAAACTGATTTTCTTGAGTCATTATATGCATTTTTTTTATCTTAATTAATTTAGTTTTTAAAAGGAATCTCCCCAATAATCAAATTCTGTATTAAAACTGATTTTCTTGAGTCAATATATTTATTTTTTTATCTTAAATAATTTAGTTTTCGGAATCTAACATCAAACAAATTGCCATTTACATTTTACTTTTTGCAAGAATTAATATTTAATGATAAAATATTCAAAGATAAATAAAAAGCCATGTCTTACACTTTTTATTTTTTTTCCATTTAAATGTTAAAAAATAGCAACAACATCATCAATAAATCAACATAAATCATGCATTTATTAATACTAAAATAATTTGAGAGAGGGCGGTAGACATTACTCTAAGGAGACGTTACGTTTACCTGCTCCGCAAAAAAAAAAAATCTTCAAATATCGTTTTACAATTGAAGTCTACTTCAGAAAATTGTATAAAGAAGATATATGTTTAAAGAAAATACAGGTAAAGCATTATTGGATTTATTGTGAATCATAAAACGGCATCTAACTTTCAAAATTATGATGACTACCTCTTCAAACGATGCGCCCAATGATAGTCATGTGACACCAGACGCGGGAGCTCAAGACCCTTCAAACAAGGTGAAACCGGTTTTTATGAAGGTAGATGAGGTAAATACCAAAGGTGATTCCTATGTCGAGCCACAGGAAATATATAAGGCTCTCATAAAAACAGTGAAAAATGAGCATATTACAGAAATACAACGTATCAAGAATCTATGGAGGCTATATATCGATTCACAACAAGGTAGGGTAAGCCTGATTACTACGGGAATAAATATCCGAGGTAGGAATATCCAGGTATACGACAAAAACCCTATCTACCTTATGATGCCGACGCAACCCGGATAATTGTAAAAGATCTACCACTTTCAGTAGCAGATAATGAAGTTAAAATAGCTCTGCTACGTTTTAATTGCAAGATTAAAGGCCCAATCCAACGGATGAAGCTTAGAGTAGATGGAGATCGGATAATATATGCCGAAACCCTAACTACGACTTTACCACGATCCTTAAGCATAAATAATTTCAAATCAAGAAT